TCTTTCCCTCTCCCTCGCGACCTCGCCGACGAGCTCGCTCTCTCGCTCTCTCTCTCTCTCGCTCTTCCTCTTTCGCTCCTCGAGCAACGCCAGGCCCCTCTCGCCGCTCGTTGTCGCGCGGTCATCGCGCGGTCCCGCGGTTCTCGCTCCGAACTCTTTCCTCGGACCGACCTACCGATTTTTCCACGCGCTTCGCTCTTTTCTCGCGCCCCCGAGTCTTCCCTCTCTTTCCCCTTCGCGCCCGTATCCGACCCTCGTCCCGATCGATCCATCGATCTAGCCGGAACGCGTTCGGCGTTTGTCCGTTCCTCCGTTCACGGCGGTTCGCGAAGAGAGAGAAAAGGTATCGTGAACGGTCGGTTTTCCAAAGACTCGGTAGGCCAGGCGCGTGGAGAGCGATCGCGATGCCGGAAAATGGCGTGAAAACGGGGATCGCGATCGAGCATCGCTGCGGGATATAACTATTCCAGGCGATAAGAGCGAGAACCGTCGGTGGTCGTGTTTCACGGATTTTCTTCGGTTTCCTTGGATACTTCTTTCAGCGAACGAGCATCCTAGATGGGACGCGGCAGCTACTAGGTACGCGAAACGACCACGACCACGGCGTCGAGGGATGAGAGGTCACGGGACGAGAGGGCGGCAACCAATGGGGACGTGGAGTCAAGTGGGGCGCGAAAAATGGGCCGGCCCGCTTCAATCCACCCCCGGAGGCTAAGGGTGAGGGTAAGGGTGCCGGCGCGGAGTAGGGTAGACCGACAGCCTCGAAGACGACCGAGCCGTCGACGCAGGGTCAGTCGGGTCGCGGACCTGCACCCCTGCGTTTTCCTCTTCTTCCCGTCCAATCTCTTTCTCTCCTCTCCGTCTCTATGCCGTCCACCGCCCGGTTAGTTGCACCCGTTTCGCACGGATAAAGACCCGACTACGATCTCCCGTTCGGTCGAGCGATCGATGTTCGATCCGTTCTTCCCGAACCTGCGGGGGCAGTCGCGCGACGAATTTAGGCTAGTATCGCGGATACCGGCGAGGTAACGAGAAAGAAGGACGTCGCGACGGTGGGACGCTAATGGTCGCGCGGCGTAGCGCGAGAAGGATTCGAGAGGGTGGTAAGCCTACTCTACTGGCACGGTCCACCGCGGGGGTAACGGGGAACCGAGAGCGGCGCAGAGCGGAGAGAACGGGGAACGTCGAACAGGGGGCAGAGGAGGAGCGACGGGGTTGGCGCCGCGTACAAGTGCATATCGGTGAAGGGGTGGCCGAACAATGCGCTCGTTCAATGCGCTCTAGATATGATTACCGGAAACCATCCCATAATTACTTTTTGTACGTCGAAAACGTACCGAGCCCCCTCGTTTCGTTTCTCTCTCTCCTCCCACCCCCCGTCGCTCCCTGCTGCTCCTCTCCACCGCTAAAACCGTCGGTCTCTCTTCTCTCCCTGTTCTTCCTCCTGTTGCCCCCTGTCGGCTCGCCGCCCCCTCTTCCCGGCGTTGTCCTTAAAACGCTCGGAACGCGAGCGGCCTTCTCCGCGCTTCAACCTGACACGCGCGATGCTTTTAAAGTGCCAGCCAACGTTAACGCCGCTCTCGAGATGATTTATCGAAATCGTTGCGTTCAACGCCGCGCCGACCGCTCCTCTTCCTCCTCTTCCTACTCTTCCTACTCTTCCTACTCTTCTAGTGGTGGTGACGATGGTGGTGGTGGTGGTGGTGATGATGGTCGGAGATGGAAGGATCGAAGGAGGAATCGACTAACTGGCGGAATCCGAGAAGAGGTCTCGGACCATCGCCGGTTTGAAAATCGGATTAAAAAACACGGGAGCGAGGGCGCGGGTACGATTACGCGAGGCAGAGGGAATGGGAAGGCGAGAAC